CTCGCTTAATACAGGCTCTGTATTAAATTGGGAATGGGGGGGGGAAGGGCTCGCTTAATTCAGGCTCTGTATTAAATGGGGAATGGGGGGGGGGAAGGGCTCGCTTAATTCAGGCTCTGTATTAAATGGGGAATGGGGGGGGGAGGGCTCGCTTAATTCAGGCTCTGTATTAAATGGGGAATGGGGGGGCGGGGGAAGGGCTCGCTTAATTCAGGCTCTGTATTAAATAAAGAAAATACAAATCTTTTATTTTAGTTGGAACTCTCATATTCGAGTAGGAGAGAGGAAAAGGTGATTGGCGTAGCCAAGGAGTAAAGGGAGCGGAGGGCTCACTTAATACAGACTCTGCATTAAATAAAGAGAAAACAAAACTATAAGTTTAGTCGGACGTATCATATTTGAGAAAGAGTAGGGAAATGCGATTGGCGTAGCCACGGGGTGAAGGGGGAGGGGGGGGGGGAGAGCTCGCCTATGAAGGTCATGTATAAAATAAAGAGAAAACAAAGTAATTTCAGTCTGACTTTTTATGGTCGAGAAAGAGTTGGGAAATGTGATTGGCGTAGCTATAACTATAAGTTTAGTCGGACGTATCATTTTGAGAAAGAGTAGGGAAATGTGATTGGCGTAGCCACGGGGTGAAGGGGGAGGGGGGGGAGCTCGCCTATGAAGGTCATGTATAAAATAAAGAGAAAACAAAGTAATTTCAGTCTGACTTTTTATGGTCGAGAAAGAGTTGGGAAATGTGATTGGCGTAGCCATGGGGAATGGGGGGTGGGGGGGGGGGGGGGGGGGGAGGGCTCGCTTAATTTAGGCTCTGTATTAAATGGGGAATGGGGGGGGGGAAGGGCTCGCTTAATTCAGGCTCTGTATTAAATGGGGAATGGGTGGGGGGGAGGGCTCGCTTAATTCAGGCTCTGTATTAAATGGCGAATGGGGGGGGGGGGGGAGGGCTCGCTTAATTCAGGCTCTGTATTAAATGGGAAATGGGGGGGGGAGGGCTCGCTTAATTCAGGCTCTGTATTAAATGGGGAATAGGGGGGGGGGGGAGGGCTAGCTTAATTCAGGCTCTGTATTAAATAAAGAAAATACAAATCTTTTATTTTAGTTGGAATTCTCATATTCGAGTAGGAGAGAGGAAAAGGTGATTGGCGTAGCCAAGGGGTAAAGGGAGCGGAGGGCTCACTTAATACAGACTCTGCATTAAATAAAGAGAAAACAAACTATAAGTTTAGTCGGACGTATCATATTTGAGAAAGAGTAGGGAAATGCAATTGGCGTAGCCACGGGTGAAGGGGGAGGGGGGGGGGGGAGCTTACCTATGAAGGTAATGTATAAAATAAAGAGAAAACAAAGTAATTTCAGTCCGACTTTTTATGGTCGAGAAAGAGTTGGGAAATGTGATTAGCGTAGCCATGGGGAATGGTGGGGGGGGGGGGGAGGGCTCGCTTAATTCAGGCTCTGTATTAAATAGGGCATGGGGGAGGGGGGTTCCCCCTTATACAGGCTTTCTATTAAATAAAGAGAAGACAAAACTTCAATTTCAGTCAGAACTAAAATAGTCGATAAAGAGTAAGAAAATGTGATTGGCGTAGCCAGGTGGTAAGGGGAGGGGGGCTCACCTAATACAGGCTCTATATTAAATAAAGAGAATACAAATAAAAGAGGCCTGTATTATATAAAAGGAAAATAAATATCTTTAAATTAGTTGGAACTCTCATAGTCGAGAAAGAGTAAATAAATGTGATTTGCATAGCCAGGGGATAAAGGGGGGGGGGTGGCTCACCTAAAAGAGGCCTGTATTATATAAAAGGAAAAAAATATCATTAAATTAGTCGAAACTCTCATAGTCGAGAAAGAGTAAGTAAATTTGATTGGCGTAGCCAAGCGGGAATGGGGAGGGGGGAGGGCTCACTTAATACAGACTCTATATTAAATAAAGAGAATACAAATCTTTAATTTTAGTTGGAACTTGGAACTCTCATAGTCGAGAAAGAGTAAATAAAGGCAATTTGCATAGCCAAGGGGTAAAGGGGGGGGGGGCTCACCTAATAGAGTCCCTGTATTGTACAAATATCTTTAAATTAGTCTGAACTCTCATAGGCAAGAAAGAGTAAGTAACTGTGATTGGCGTTGCCAGGGGGAAAAGTGGGGTTAGGGGGGTTAGGGGTTAGGGGGGTTAGGGGGGGGGGGGGCTCGCTCAACACAGACTCTGTATAAAATATAGAGAAAACAAATATTTAATTTCAGTCAGAACTATAACAGTCAATAAAGAGTAAGTAAATGTGATTGGCGCAGTCAAGCGGGAATGGGGAGAGGGAGGGCTCACTTAATACAGGCGCTATATTAAATAAAGAGAATACAAATGTTTAATTTAGTCGAGAAAGAGTAAATAAATGTGATTTGCATAGCCAGGGGGTAGGGGGGGGGGATTGGCTCACCTAAAAGAGGCCCTGTATTATATAAAAGGAAAATAAATATCTTTAAATTAGTTGGAACTCTCGTAGTCGAGAAAGAGTAAGTAAATGTAATTGGCGTAGCTAAGCAGGGAATGGGGGGGGGGGGTGGCTCGCTCAATACAGACTCTGTATAAAATATAGAGAAAACCAATATTTAATTTCAGTCAGAACTATAATAATCGTTAAAGAGTAAGTAAATGTGTTTGGCATAACCATTAGGTGGCTCACCTAATAGAGTCCCTGTATTGTACGAATATCTTTAAATTAGTCTGAACTCTCATAGGCAAGAAAGAGTAAGTAACTGTGATTGGCGTAGCCAGGGGGGAAAGGGGGGTTAGGGTGGGGGGGGGAGGGCTCGCTCAATACAGACTCTGTATAAAATATAGAGAAAACAAATATTTAATTTCAGTCAGAACTATAATAGTCGATAAAGAGTAAGTTAATGTGTTTGGCATAACCAAAGGTTGAAGGGGGGGGGGGGGGGGCTCGCCTTATACAGGCTCTGTATAAAATAAAGAGAAAATAAGGTAATTTCAGTTAGACGTATCATAGTCGAGAAAGAGTAGGGAAATATAAAGGGCATAGCCACGGGGTAAAGGAAGGGGGGATCTGGAGCTCACCTAATACAGGTTATATATAAAATAAAGAGAAACAAATCTTGAATTTCGGTTGGAACTATTAATAGACTAGATAGAGTACGCAAATATGATTAGCGTAGCCACGGGTGGGGGGGGAGGGGAGGCTCGCCTTATAAAATGCAGCCTCTGTATTAAATAAAGGGGAAAAAGTAATTTCAGTCTGACTTTTTATAGTCGAGAAAGAGTTATGAAATATGATTGGGGTAGCCACATAGAATGTGGGGGGGGGGGGGGTGGCTCGCTCAATACAGACTCTGTATAAAATATAGAGAAAACCAATATTTAATTTCAGTCAGAACTATAATAATCGTTAAAGAGTAAGTAAATGTGTTTGGCATAACCATTAGGTGGCTCACCTAATAGAGTCCCTGTATTGTACGAATATCTTTAAATTAGTCTGAACTCTCATAGGCAAGAAAGAGTAAGTAACTGTGATTGGCGTAGCCAGGGGGGAAAGGGGGGTTAGGGTGGGGGGGGGGGGGGGGCTCGCTCAATACAGACTCTGTATAAAATATAGAGAAAACAAATATTTAATTTCAGTCAGAACTATAATAGTCGATAAAGAGTAAGTTAATGTGTTGGCATAACCAAAGGTTGAAGGGGGGGGGGGGGCTCGCCTTATACAGGCTCTGTATAAAATAAAGAGAAAATAAGGTAATTTCAGTTAGACGTATCATAGTCGAGAAAGAGTAGGGAAATATAAAGGGCATAGCCACGGGGTAAAGGAAGGGGGGATCTGGAGCTCACCTAATACAGGTTATATATAAAATAAAGAGAAACAAATCTTGAATTTGGTTGGAACTATTAATAGACTAGATAGAGTACGCAAATATGATTAGCGTAGCCACGGGTGGGGGGGAGGGGAGGCTCGCCTTATAAAATGCAGCCTCTGTATTAAATAAAGGGGAAAAAGTAATTTCAGTCTGACTTTTTATAGTCGAGAAAGAGTTATGAAATATGATTGGGGTAGCCACATAGAATGTGGGGGGGGGGGGGGGGAGGGCTCGCTTATTACGGGCTCTGCATTAAATGAAGAGAAATCTTAGGTTACCCAACGCTAATTCTGAAGAATTCTGTTTCTTAAGTAAGGACAAATATTAAAAATAATGTGTTTCTCGTCAGGAAAAAGAGGAAGCTGGGCATTACTATTGACTATTTTGCGATTTTGTTTTTCTTCTCCAAAGATAGCTGCCGCACCAAATATAGCTTGCCAAGTCTATTTTATTCACATATATTGTGCTATGTGAGTATACTGATGCCATGTATGACAAAACAAATGATTTGTATCACCTTAAAATAGAAGCTATTTGAACAAAATTTATATCATAGCCATAGGGTCTAACCATTTTTTTTTTTTTTTTTTTGGGGGGGGGGGGGGGTATATTTCAACTAAATAGTAAATAGTAAAAAAAAAGAGGCAGCGGCCAAAAAGGAGGTGGGCAGGGACGAGAAACACTTTATTTTTGTTACTTGGTCTAACGCTAAACCTAATCTAAACCCTAACTCTAACCCTAACCCTAACTCTAACCCTAACCCTAACTCTAACCCTAACCCTAACCCTAACCCTAACTCTAACCCTAACCCTAACCTAACCCTAACCCTAATTATCCCTAACCCTAACCCTAGGTCTATGACGTTTATGTACATAAATCCTAAAGTTAAGCCGAGTAATTGACTAAATTACTGTTTGAAATCAACTGTTCTCAGCCTGAATGTCCGGATAAACAACCTGTTTATCAAACAAACGGCCGAGGGTAAAGAATTATGAGCTCGCGTACTCTCTTCGGAACAGCAGCTTCCCCCTGCCAGAGTTCTGGGGAGCTTGCTGATTAGATCTACGTAATATTCACAACACAAACATCACAGAAAAGACGGAGATCTTATCCGTCATTTACAAATTGCTTACCAAAATTGTTGATCAGGGCTTGAAGTCGAATGCGATGAATAAACAAAATGATGGCCACCGTCTTCCTACGTGTCTTTCATGATTTTGTGAGAGATTAGACACACTGTTCACTCCGACTGGGATCAGAATCGTGACAAATGTACTCGCTTTAGAGCCCCATATGTTTTACACGTAGAAGTCACTTTCGAACAAAAGAGGGCGTATTTTTAACAACATTAGAAATAACCCTTTTTCCAAACAGATTTTTAACTCATAAAAGTGGAAAAATATAGTTCTAAAATCCTATAAAAGCAAAATCTAACGTCTGTTTGATATTTCAGAGTAGCATTTGAGCAAAAATAAAACAAATGTATGGTCAAACTAGGTGTATGAATTGACCCGAAAGCTGGTTCACAATGACAATCTCCCATTCATTCATACACATTCTCTAGAGATGCCTTAAATTTCACCATGAAATATTTAAGTTTCCAATGCTAAATTTCCTTTTATTCCAACAAAAAACGAAAAATAGTTGTTAAATAATCAATTTAATAGCATTCATCTATAATCTTCATCGAAAAATTTGAAATTATGAAGGAAACTAAAACCTAAATTTTGTTCCACAATGACAAATTTTATAGATGGGCTATTCGTCCAAAACAAAATATTTAATATGTAAAAAATTAATTAAAAATATTTTCTTGCATAATTTCAGGGAAAAAATGATTTTTTATTTTATTTAGGCTCTATTCTTTGTGTGGAGCACCATCAATTCTTACTGCACTACTTTTATTACAATTACAGATAAGTTTTAGTTTTGGAGAGAAAAACGTTTTTTTATATAGATGTACATACTTAACTAGTATATTGTTCATCTTGTCTTTTTTGCAATTTTTCGAAAACTGAAAAACGAATTGAAAAATCAATTAAATGATCAAAAAGGAATAGAAAAGCTCTTTATATCTCTTTTGGAGAATATGGAATTCGTCAAGAAATGAAAAACCTATGTGGCTTTACATAAAATTTGGTTCACTTTCACATGTTAAAGAGAGAGAGAGACAGAGAGAGAGAGATAGAGAGAGAGAGAGAGAGAGAGAGAAAGCATTGGGGGGGGGGGGGAGGGGGAGGAGGGAAGCAAATATAGAAAGGAAAAATAAAGAGAAGACTGAAGTGAAGTCAGATCGAGGAAAAAATGAAAAAGTGACAAGAAAAATTAACAGCGGATAGAGAGGTGGAGAAGATATGCTGTAAAGATAAAATAACCCCTCTTAAATGACCTTGACGTTACTCACATGGGTCACGTAAAGCTGTGCCTGAGAGGCTGCGGGAACACCCACTGGGGGTAGCGGCGGGGGAAGGCGTTGAGGAGGGGGCACAGGAGCAGGGGCAGGAACAGGCTGAGGGGCCCGGACTTGCAGTGCTAATCCTGGTTGCCCTGGCAATCCAAGCTGCCACGAGAGCAAGGAAATAAATATACTTTAATATGTCTACTTCAAAGCATTTAATGTATTACTTGTACAAACAAAATCTTCAGTCCTTCAGGAGAGCTACAGAAATCTACTGATATACTACATCCTAGCTAGAGACAGAATCTATAAGATGTCTACAGTGTGGAGAGGATTAAGATTTTATTCTGACTACCCTAGAAGACTTTAATGCACTGATAATAGTCTGGTTGTTGCCATTCTTTTCACTATTTAGAACCGAAATCAATAATACGATCTTTTTTTTACATTTCCGTATCTAATAGTATTGCCATATCTTTGAAATATGGGTCGCAGGAGGATCGTACAGTGTGCGGTATGTTTTCTAGAGACCATTTACCTGTGGTTGTGCAGAAAGATGAGGATAGACAATTCCTTGCTGAATGCTGACCGCTGCACTGACCACCGGCCTCTGAGCAGCACCAAGGATTGCTATACCACACATAAACAAAACAATGAAAGAATGAAAAACAAGATGAATGCGACTGCATCTCTAATATGCGTCCGCTTTTATGTATGTTCATTGATCAATGATTCTGTGACCTTTAACATCTGACATCATGAACCCAAACTCTTTACATTTGATCTGTCATGCTCATACATACTTGAGCCCTGTTAAGTTATCACTATGATAGATAACTAATATGTAGCACACTGACATATCAGGGCCACATTGTATAAAACTTACCATTGGTGGTAACTTTGCCATCAAGGGCAACTACCATGGTAATAGGGCTCAACAGCCAATCAAAATCAAGGTTTCCATGGTATTTACCATTGATGGCAAAGTTACCATCAATGGTAAGTTTTGTCCAACGGGGCCCAGGTATCTATTTACACCTGAGTAGAGAGTGGCAACAGTGAATTATTTTTTTGCCAAAGGACGTTAGTGCCAGACTGGGATCCCAACCCTCAACACTTGGATTAAAGGCATTGTTTAACAATGTTAAATCTGAGATGCATGGCCCTACGTGTTATCAGTGTCTGTGATATGGTGTAATATTGAAGCCCTAAACAAATTGTGCTTCAAAATGATCATGAAGTGCCTCAAAAAAATCAAAATCTTTGAGTGACCGGTTTACCATACTCATTTTCCCCAATAGACTGTAGTGTAATAAAAACCGCTAGGAAAACGGTTTTTGAAATTTTGATTTCCAATCATAAATATCTTGATAATCAGACAGGCGATCGGCTTGTAAAAGTCATGGGGTTCCTGACTAACCTAAAGGTTTATAATTATCATTGCAGCATGAGATAAATCCAGCATTTTGTTTCAGAATCTGAGACAAAGATACCCAATCCCTTTAAGAGTCAAGTGAAAGAACCACTGTACCACGACACCTCCACCAAAGCGATGGATTGTCATGTGCATACCTTGTGCTTGTTGTTGAGCAGCCAAGGTTTGACTCATGACTGTACTAGCAGCAGCAGGAACAGTGGGTTGAGCTTGTGAATACAGCCCTAAAGCTGCGGGATGATGCATCTGCTGCTGCTGATGCTGAGGAGGAGGCTGCTGCTGCTGTGGAATGGCCTGCTGGGCCAAGGGCTGCTGGGGTGGACGAGGCGGTGCAGCAATCATGTGGGCAGCAGCTTCAATAACAAAAGAGCCATTTAGAGTTAGGAGGATGGAAGGAAGGTCGGGGCAAGATTAAAGAACATTTTATACACATGTGTAATGAAAGATTAGAAACAAACACATTTCAGGATTTAGGCCAAGCTTCAATAACAAGAGAACCATTTAGAGTTAGGATGATGGAAGGAAGGTCGGGACACGATTAAAAAACGTTTTATAAGCATGTGTAATGAAAGATTAGAAACAAACATATTTCAGGATTTAGGCCAAGCTTCAATAACAAGAGAACCATTTAGAGTTAGGAGGATGGAAGGAAGGTTGGGGAACGATTAAAAACATTTTATACGCATGCGTAAGGAAAGATTAAAAACGAACATATTTCAGGATTTAGGCCAAGCTTCAATAACAAAAGAGCCATTTAGAGTTAGGAGGATGGATGGAAGGTCAGGGCACGATTAAAAAACAACGTTTTATAAGCATGTGTAATGAAAGATTAAAAACAAAAATATTTCAGGATTTAGGCCAAGCTTCAATAACAAGAGAACCATTTAGAGTTAGGAGGATAGAAGGAAGGTCGGGAACGATTAAAAAACAATGTTTTATAAGCATGTGTAATGAAAGATTAAAAAAGAACATATTTCAGGATTTAGGCCAAGCTTCAATAACAAGAGAACCATTTAGAGTTAGGAGGATGGATAGAAGGTCGGGGATTAAAGAACATTTTATACACATGTGTAATGAAAGATTAGAAACAAACATATTTCAGGATTTAGGCAAAGCTTCAATAACAAGAGAACCATTTAGAGTTAGGATGATGGAAGGAAGGTCGGGGAACAATTTAAAAACAACATTTTGTACACATGTGTAATGGAAGATTAAAAATCAACATACTTCAGGCTTTACGCCAAGCCTTTGAAACTGATCTTGAGCTCTGGTATGGGAATCTTATTTTGAAAGAAACTTGCTATGATTTATTCTAGATTGTTCATCCTGCAGTAGATTGGCTGTTTAAACTAGTGAAATAAAAACAAATGCACAAAAACTTACTGGGCATTATCTTCGATAAAAGCCACAACTCCCATTTGCACATAGTGGCTTGTGTTGAGAACATGGTGTCGGACCTACTCACCCAGATTTCCTTATCTTTCTATGCTCATTACTCAGCCCCCTATACATTTTCTATCAAAATTGTTTGGCACATGTAATCTTGAACATTCAGACACTGAATTAGTTACATATGATATGTACATCATCAATGATAAGAATTTGATAAAACACAAAATCTAAACCTATGAGTAGGTTTTACAAGAGCTCCAGGACTTATATGCGTTTGTCAACTAATTACTTTGCTAAACACTGGAAGAAATCAAGGAAACAGCTCTTTGACAGTTATTTGCATCTCATAGATGAATACATAATAATAATAATGACATGTCTGTCAGACTTGACACTCCTGGCGCAATATACAGTGTATGTATTTGCCTGTAATCGTGACATTTAATGTCAATGTACATGACCTTTAACCCCATCCCCAAACAGAAAATAAATACGGGTAGATAAATAGAGTGTTTGTGATAATGTAGACTCCATGACCAGTCTTTTGCATGGAGACTGTTCTTATCACAATGCAAGATGCATTAATCTTGGAGGGCAGTATCGGTCGATTAGCTGGGTTTCACGTCTAATCAACCTTCTTAACCCTCCAGTCCTAGCCTATACATACTCACAAAATCATGTGGTTACAAATACTGTACAAAGTTGATCGGACATAAAAGTAAATCAAAAATCTCCACACTTAAAACTAACCAAAACATTATGAGCAAAAATGAGTTATAAAACATCAAAATAATGAAAACAGTGATCCTAAATTAGTAATGTCACTTAAATATAGAATGAATTTGGGCTATCTTTCTTGTTTGTACACAATCTACAAAGAAATAACCCAAAAGGTCAGTCCTGAATATTCAAATCAAGGTTAGCTCTTAATACATTGAATGATTCAATGGTTTGTGGAATAAAGTGTGAAGTGTTTTGTAACTGCAAAGGAAGAATCTATGTCAAACAGATTAGGGTTTTTACCCTACTGGACTAGATAATTGGATTAAAAACATGACCGTAGAATTGTCAGCTATTACATCAATACCACTCATCAACCCCACATGTCCTTTCCTAAATGCCATCACATTAAAATGTGATTATCTTACCCATGGCTGGTGCCGATCGTTGGAAGATTTGGCTTTGATGTGTCATGTACTCTGCTTGAATCTGCATGTGGTTAAATAGTATGAAATAGTATGGTCAATCACAATTTTATTTTTTTCACTTAGAGGAGTAACAGGACTATAATAACATTCATGATTCTTCCATTTTGCATTAAGTGTTATAAAATATACATCTATTCTTCAAAAAACTGATTCATAACTCTGTATTAAAGGGATCGTTTAACAATGTTAAATCTGAGATACATGGCCCTAAGTGTTATTAGTGTCTGTGATATGGTGTAATATTGAAGCCCTAAAAAAAAAAGCGCTTCAAAATGATCAAGAAGTGCCTCAAAAAAGTAAAAATCTTTGAGTGACCGGTTTTCAAAATTTGTAATTCCAATCATAAATATCTTGATAATCAGACAGGCGATCGGCTTGTAAAAGTCATGGGGCTCTTGACTGACCTAAAGGTTTATAATTATCATTGCATCATGAGCTAAATCCAGAATTTTGTTTCAGAATCTGAGACAAAGTTACCGGATCCCTTTAAGACTTTTGAAGGATTTTCATCTTTTGGTTTCTCACTTTAATAAAGCTACAAATAATTATCATGAAGTTATTTTCCAATTTTTCAAGGAGCAACAATATGTCATTCTGAATCCTGGATTCTAAATTTGAGAAGAATGCAAACTTCTACAGGAATCCATGTAGGTCTGTTTAACTTTAGACAGGTATTATTTTGAGAAGTCTTTTACAGGAACATACATGTGGAGAATGTAACAAAAATGCAAAACAAGTACATGTACGCTTAAATACATCCCCGGCATAGCACCTGAAGGGCTCTCCGAACGCTGCTGAGATGTGTGAGATCACAGTATGGACACGATTTGCACAAGCAGACGATGTCCCATGACATCTCACACATTTTCAGTGCCTGTGTTTTCATCTTCTCTTGAGTTCTTGCTCTTACTTCACTACCGTCAGGCTAAATGTATAATCTATTGCCTCACTCTAAACCCCGCACATGTTATTATTTTGATGACAAATGCAGCGATACAAAAATAAAGGAATCTGTCGCTTTTAAACAAAATAAGACGCCATTCAATATTCAGCTGCACACACCGCGGTATGTTCGGCGTTTCAAGAGGGAACAAATACCGTCCTTAATATCATTCCGGGGGGTTTTCAATACGAAAGTCTGGTTTCTTTGATTGTTAATTAACCCCTATCCTGTGTATTTACAAGCAAAAGATTTAAGTTATCGAAATCGGGTCATATCCCCTTTTGAATGGTTTGACATGCCATCACATTTATATACACTAAACTCATTATAATTTGACAAATAGAAGCTTTGCAATTATGTTCATTCTTTATGGGATGTCGTCTGCTTGAGCAGTATTGGTCCATATAGTGACGTCGTTAAAACATCGTTATTTGTCCGGCGAATCTCTCATATATCCCAGCTGCTATGCAGGGGGTTTTATTTATATTTTTATAAATCACCCGATATGTAGATGACCTAAAACTTGTACGATGGCCATCTGTAAGCTTACCAGTTTCTAGTCATACATTAGTTGACATATTTGTGATTTTCTTTGACTTTCACCTTTAAAGGTGAATGAAACCCTTCATTGTAATCTACATGTACGTCATTATGTAGAGGACATTTAAACTCACATTTTCATACAACAATCAGGTTCGTAGGATATGTATATTTCAAATGACTGATATTATACTTTTCCATTGCACAATTATTACTTTTGACTTTCATTCTCCTTTAACAGTATTGTATACATGCATACCTACAACAGTGACTAGATTTTCACAAAGTTTGATGGAAAAAATGTTCTAAACATTCTAGTTCATGTTAATAATTCATGTCCCAAACTTTGAGATAAATAAAGCATAAATTTGCAAAACTGAAACTACCATGTATTGTTGCATCTCCATTACATCTAGGGTTCAGTGACACAAAGGCATAACTCCATATTTTATTTGATATCAAAATGTTCAGAAAAATGTGGGCTTTCCAGGAAACACAAAGACTGAACTCCTGGCCCAAGTGCTCAGTGACACATAAAACACTTTTTCTCAAAATGGTCAAAATGGAGTTACGTCTTTGTGTCACTGACCCCTCGACATCATATACAACTTGAGGAGACGGTTGACGTACGGTTACAACCAGGTTTTCGCAGAGTTTTTTGGCCGCCTGTAGACCGTCTACTTTGGGATGAGTGACGTAGATGTAGAGGTTCTCAAAGGCTTCCCGCCCAGATGTGGGCTCCATGAAACCAGAGCCCCGCCCTCGCAGGTAGATGTTGGCACCGGTTTCTGCTCGGATGTGATGTAGGAAGGAACCCTGCGAGAAAAAAAAACAGGACCCTGTTTCATAAAACTTGATATCAATAACAAGTTACAAGCTACTGTTATAAGCTACTGAAATCATGGCATCTGATTGGCTATCAGCCGATTTGTCACTGATTTGTCATTTGTCATTGAAAAAAAGGTTTTGTGAAACAGGCCCCAGGAACGAGCCGATTGGAAAATGATCCAAGTTTGGTTAGAATCTGCTTAGTGGTTCTTGATTTATCGTGTTAACAAGAAGCAGGATGGAGGGACGTACGGACGGACGGACGGATGAACAACCCTACGTCACATTCGGTAGCGGACGCATAATAAAAATGAGAGACGAAGAAAAGAGTGTGAAAAGTGCAACAACGAGTCACCTTAACGATTTGGGAAGTATAAATAGAACAAAGAAAAGAAACAAGATAATTGAATAATAGTTAGATTTAACGGAAGGGAAGGAGTGTTTGAGAAAGAAAGAAAATGTTTACTTACCGCTGGACCTAGGATCTTATCTTTGATACTAAATGACGGGTCTGCATGTTCCATTCCCACAAATACTTTATCTTGTAAGTAATGCTGTCATGAAAGAAAAGAAAATGTATACAAAAACCCTTATTCTTCTATGCACACACAAAGACTAGTTTCACTCCACCAGGAGTGTAGAACCGTATTACAAGATATATAGATGCAGATATTATTTTTTCTGTTATCAAGCATTAAATTTTCTTTAAAAATTCAGGGTGTGTTTTTTGAATTATTAGAAAGATTAATAATGAACAATCATTGATTTCACATGCATGTCATAACTTTTGCTGTGCAGGGCCCTCAGGGATAGCAGTTTGCTAAAGAGACAACCCTGCTTAAATGAAACTGTAAATAAATAAATTAACAATAACATCTACTTCTCAATGGTTCTTCTGGGATCTTTTTTTAACCCTTTAAACACTTCATCATTCTTCAAGCATGCAAACTCTCTTAATCTGCTGAAGCAAATGTTTATGCTAAACTTTTTTGCTCACCCCTGAAGACTGTGCTGTTTGGATGGCCAGTTGGATCGCAGGGGGTGGAACCATGGGGTGGGGTACCGGTCCACGTAACCCGCCCGCTCCTCCAGCGACACCGGGCCCCCTGACGTCCCCTCCTCCTAAAGCTGGTCCCCTCATCTGTGCCCCTAGTCCTGGGGCAGGGGGGTGGCTGAAGATGGGTACCCCTTGGGGTCTGGTGTTGACGGCCCCTGCTGGGCCAGTGGTGGCTGCACTGAACCTAGAGCGGGTCCTGTTAACCGTAGGGGCCCCGCCCTGCTTGCCTTGCATACCGCCCTCTATTAATGCCTTGATGTGCTCCACAGCCCCTGGGTGGTATTAAAGTTATTAGTGTTGATGAATACAATAATGTACAGTCAAACCTGCTTTAGTGACCACCTGTCTACAAAGACCACCTTTCTACAACAAGCACACTTTATGTCTCCCTTGAAAATGGTTTCTCTTTGAAACATGTACTAAAGGAACCTGTCTACAAAGACCACCTGTCTACAAAGACCACCTGTTTCTACAAAGACCACTTTTGTGTTTCCCTTGGGCAGTCGCAGTAGACAGGTTCGACTGTGCATTGTATTGCATATGCTCGAGCACCAATGGTTTTACATTCAATTTCTAACATCAATCAAATTCACTGGACTGAACAATATACCATAACCGAAACCTTACTTAAACCCTTCACAACTCAATCCCTAAATTATTTTTGACAAAGTAAAAGCAAGGTATCGAATGTCAGATCACTGAATGAAGACCTGAATATTAAATAAACTTCATGCTCAATCTTGTCCGGGATATCTTTAGTGCTCTTTAGTAGCACCCACCAATTATGACCAGATTTCAAAGTCCTCATTTTTGTCTTTTTTTTTTCTTCTCTCCTATCCTGTTGTCACTCTCCCACTTTTCATCTCAGGGAATTGCCTACATCCTTACTAATATGAAAGAAAGTTTGTTGACGAGGTAGACATTTTTTAAAACTTTGACACCTGTGCACTTTACCTGCTTATAAATTGATAACCCATTGGATAAGATTTGATTTTGGCATAACACTCATCATCCATATATACTCCAAACCGAGTTGTTTTGGGCACTGTATTCGATGGCTAAATACTTCTTTTCTTTACGGATAGCAAATGACAAAGAGGAACAACAGTCTCTCAACAAATACATCAGTACCATAGGGAATACTCACTGTCTACACTCTCCCTAGTTGGTCCTTGTACACATAGATATAATGGCCTCTCTCTGAAAAGATAACAAAAATACATTTCAAAAATTAAGTTATAAATTCACAAAACAGCCTTCTCTAGATGGATTCCATTTTCTTTTGCAGTTGAAATTCTTTCTCTTAAAAATAATAAGGATTTATACTTTCTTTTTTTTTGTGCAAAATGCTTTCAAATGATAATGCTGTAGTCCCAGCAATCTGGTTTTGTGTGTGTTTCCATATAATACAGATTTTCTTATCTTTTTTTTCTTCAAGGGAGAAACTAAGCAACATCACTAAGGTTCACTCCAGTGCTAAATAAGTTACAGCCATGATCTAACAGCTAAAGGAAATCACAAAATATCTTCCACAACGGAAACTAACCCCATATTGTTTGTTGCTCTGTCTGCATATGACATGTACCTCCCTCTCGTTGATACAGCTGCTCCTGTAAGTCTGCTGATCTGTGGAGATAAGAGAGAAATTTCATTATGATGGAATGCAGGTAATTTACAATTCATACAAATGAACTTATTGCAAGGGGGGTCTTTGTTGCATGTAACAGATATTTCATCCCAAACTTGCCATTTATTTACATGTGAAATGTTTTGTATTGTGTTGTGGCAGTTACTTCTGACATGGTCATGCATAAACAGGTACAGACACAAACACAAAGGGACTCCACATTTCACCAGTATTGTTGCATAGGGAAGATGGAAGAAGATAACATATCTTGATAACAGATCAATGGAAGGGATGCAGAGAATGTTATCAAAGTAAATCTCTTCTCTATTGTACATGCATAATTCATTCGGTTGTCAAAGGCATCAGCCTGATAATGGTGGGATGTTGCATCGTCTGTCTAAAGTGGACATTAACAGATTCACATCAAACATCACTAAAGGCTTGTTCAGATATTGCAACAAAGCTGTGGCATTTTTTTAAAAATGTGTAAATGAATGGCAATTGTGCGCAACAAAGGACTGGCATGTATTCACTGAGCTCTGTGTTGTACGATAGAGGAAGGTGAAGAATAGTATTCTTTACGTCATCATCAAACCAGCACTGGGGTTTTGCCGTGACATATCTGAACCAGCCTGAAGAGGAGAACTGTCTCATGCAATTATACAATATTTAATTAACAATAAAATACTCAATGTGAATCATTCCCATCGAATCCACATTCCGTCATCAAGAGACTATGTTTACATTTTTTGAAGTATAATTCACCCTTACAGCTAGAAAAAATTAGGTCCACTTTATCATTCATTTCTTTTCCTGCTACTCCAATAATTCTTATTTTTTAACGCAAAATATAAAATGTTGTCAGCAAAGTCCCTTGCTCATGGTCTGTGTCCAATAAGTATCAGTGAATGATTGGCAATACGATACCTCCTCTTGTGTAGATCCTTTGGTGAGCATGTTGCGACATTGTATGGGTACTTCGTTGATTTCAACTTCTGCAACCAGAGTTTCGTTCTTGCCTTTCTCCTCCTTCACAGGCTGAATGAAAGAGATGGAGAAATGGAGTTGATAGTAGCAAAAATTTCAAATGCTTTCTGATTTTTACCATGTTATTAATGTGACATAATTCAACTTTATTCTCATGGTACTCTTATTTTTTAAAGTGAAAAGAAATTGATTGAATGTAGTGATTTATAGTCCTAAATCTATCTGGGAATACTTGATATAAAAACACAAGTTCAAGCATAATGATTGTTTTGTCAATTTACCTATAAAAGTCGGGCCAAAGCACAAAGACAAATGTGCCCATAGTTTTTTTCCATACTTCTTTTCACAGTTATATTCTACATGGTGTTTTTTTTTTATACAACGGTAGTCCACTGTACTTTGGGTAAATTTTTGTCAAAGCCCACAAATAACTAATACCTTTCATGGACATGTAGACGTAGTTGTTGTTTATCATGCAGTAAACTGGATATCAAGGCCAGCAAAACATAAACCACACTATCAAACCACTATAGTGCATGAGTGTTGATATAACCAGCCTGATTTTATGATCCTCCATTGCCTATTACTCAGCTTTTACATACCTACAATTGGCTTGTTACTAGAGAGCGTATTTCAATTTGAAAAATGTTTTTACAGAAGTGATTATTTAAAGCTGATTTTTTAATATACATGTAGTATTTCGAAATGGAACTACTAGGATTCAAATTTAAATAATTTTTAGCGATTGGTGTACTATAAATGTAGGATTCATTTGATTCGGTGAGATATTATTGTTTACTCCAGTGCATCGTTTCACGAAACCAACATGAGTACAAGTTCACCAACATCCCATCGACATGCTTTTTAATTTCAATACAGGCGTCTCAATAGAATGTCGGCGAACTTATACTTATAACGGTTTCGTGAAACACTGCCCAGATAACCTTGAACAGGTGGTTAGAATGACAATCATGTACATACCAGCTTGACTTGTTTCTGTTGTTTAGTATCTGGTTCTAATGGTACAATGCCTGGAGGTAGCTTGAGTTTGCCCTTGGAGATCAGCATGGCATTGATTCTAGCTGCTGCAGCCGAAGCTGCCTCAAGACTGCTCACCTGCCCGTCCAACATCTGCGCCGCTGCTGCTGCTGCCGCTGCCGTAGGGTACGGAGAGGGGGCAGGAGGGGCGGGGCCAGGGGCAGGGGCCATACCCATAGACAAGGGCGTGTCCCATTTGGAGCGGCGGGGTCGACCGTGGCTATCGGGATGATATCTAGAATTTATTTGGATGAATTTACAGTTCAAATTATGCATAACATACACATTTTAGCATTAGACCAGTTCGTAGTTAGCACATGGTTCAGATGACCCTAAATATCCACACATCTTTTAAACATAGATACATCCCACTTTGTGCCTTTTGGAATAATCACAGCTAAAGTCATGGAGGTGATTCTTTGCTTGCCCCACCCTCTTGAAAGGATTACTTCCACCTGTGTTCAATAAAATGTATTACATGTGCATGCATGAATAATGATTACATAACTTTCGTGAGCATGTATCCAGTATTAGTCCAGTGGGTTTTAACATTTTGTAACAGTGACCTTTATTTGCGCATGCGCAGATTGTATCTACGAACTGGTCTATTGCTGTCACCTATATATATAATTTCCCTTTTTTCAGAGGGGATAGAAAGTAGAAAATGAAGAATTGCTTAAAAAGCAGCTTTTATGTTTGCTATTCTTCCAAAGATATTAGTTACACATTTGTAAACAAAACATCTGCACTATTCTACATACTTGTAGTATATCTTCTTAATTTAATACATGTAACATAAGAAGGACATCATGGTTAATTGACAGGGAAAGTACATGTACATGTACATGACACATGTGGTGCTCGGGTGCCTTCAAGCATGGGGACTTCAGAAAGAGAGGTTCCAAGGAGTCGGCAAAGGTATCAACGAGGATAATGGAGAAACATTTTATTGCATACATTAAAGCCCCACTGTCCTACTTGTAGCTACTCGCTCCCTCTATATAGAAAACTTCCCCAATCGGTGCCTGTTGGTCCCCCATGATCCTCTTTTTCTTATGTTAGTTGAGAGCTGAGTAAATGAGATAGCCACCTGTTAGTGACCTCGCTGTATGGTCTAATCCCTTCTGGCCAAGTAGTATTGACGGTCTTTAAACCTGTAAAATGCTTTGGCCCTTCCATATCATTTCTCCTGAGATACTGTAAGATTAGTTTACCTGTTTGATCCAACCCTTAACCCTCTGTATGCCACACAAATAATCTTACCGTACCACATTCTTACACCATACAAGTAACTGATCATATGATGAATAGTTGAACTTGAACTTACTCATTCATCCTGGAAGAGGTCACACAAACCGGTTGAAAGAGGTCACACAAACCGGTTGGAAGAGGTCACACAAACCGGTTGAAACAATAATACTCTCCGTTGTGGTAAATAGTGAAGTTAACTGATGATGATATGATGTAGACCTAGAAGAGTAACCATCATGACGTCAAACTAGATACTTTGAAAGACATCATCAGCATTAAAATCTGAAAAAGGAAACAAAATACAAATCAAGAAACATTTCTCAAAGGAGCTATTAAGGTTTTTATTAGTAGATAGATCTTCATGTAAGAAATTTGATATTGATATCGCTCAGCCCTACTTCACACGCACATGCAATTGCCTCTGTGAAGAGCCATGTAAACAAAACTCAAGGCAACCTAAAAATTATTGATGAAATACTTACTTTTGAATGCGATGCTCCAAAATCATACTATTACCGTAAATAACCATAATAATTGAGTTCTGTAATTTCCAGCTGATTCACTGCTCAAAATCGTGTAGAAAACCTGAAGAAACCGCCGCTGATTTTCCTTGGTGCTATGTGTGCCACTCACCATGAAGAAATTTGCGCATTGAGCGCTATACAGTGAGTTTAAGCGCTCTCATTGGCCGATCCGCTCGAGTGGCTTAGAATTTAAGTGAGAGAGGGCCTGTTCCTAATAGTTTTTTTTTTTGTTTTTTTGCACATATCGCACGACAACCAAATGCCCTAAGATGTTGATACCTACTTTGATAGAAAAATAAGGTTTTACAAAATGGAAAAATACTAGAAGAGAAAAGGTAAGAAAGAGTAAAGACGGATTGAGGACGGTAAACCCCAAACAAGAGACTCTGGAGATCTACCCCAGAATCCTCTCACCGGCACCAGAGTTGCCTAGGCCAATGATGGCCGAGAAGATTGCGCAATGTACCGCGCCGGTCTGGCAGGAAGGTGCCAATTGCGGTGAGGGGTTTTCATGGACCAGTAGATCTGAGATTATATTATCAACAAAAAAAAAGAAAAGAGTATGAATTTACAAATAGCACCAAAAAATAGAAGAAAAAAAAAATAAAGTGAAAGGCGAAAATATTCTAAAAAAGAATGAAACGCCGATAATACCAAACAACAAACAACAAACAACGTTAACCTAAGGGCAATTTAAGTCAATGGCAATATCAATACGTAATATTACTTCACACCACATAGATTTTGACATGTCATGCTTTAAACAGGTGACGCACTTCACACATTACTGACGCACACATGAAATTGCACACACATTAAATGGAAAAATCAACGAACATTTCAGAATAAATTTCCATTTTTTTACCTTAAATATGCAAAAATGAGAATTGTTCAAACTTTAAAAATAGTTACGTAAGACTAAAACTTAAGTGAAATACTTTACCTTTTAAGAATGCTAAAAAAATTGTAACAAATAGAGGGCTTGACTGAAATATTATAATTTTGGTATTAAAAAAAACGGAAAATCGCAAGCTTGCTCCTCGCACAAATATCTAGCATTGAGTTAATGGAATTGGAAGACAGCGATAGCCAATAAGAAGGGCCCTTGTCGGCGCCAATTTAGTAAAATGAGGCTGTGATTTGCCGAGATCGGAAGGACGATCTATGCATGCGCTAAATGTAAGCCAAAGTTATACGTGAGCTCACCAGAGACAGAGTAAAAAAAACTGTCATGTAAATTTACATTTTTTGTCAAAAAGTCTTTTAAAATCAAGCTTTAAACATGTTAAATACATCCTAATTAGTTAGTAAATTTTGTCATCCCATGTAGTGGAATTATTTGATATCTTATCAGTTTCACGAAAGTTAGGACGAAATGAGAAATGAAAGGCACGCGTTCGTTCTAGAGAAATAGAATTAGAGCTCAACTCTTCCACCACCATGTCCACGGACCACACTCGGCACTGCGAAGTCGCCCAGCTCCTTCGGGTCAACGTGGCTTCCCCGTTGGTTTGGGGCTGGCCTCGTCCCTAGCTTTGCTCGTTCTTTTGTGCTCGACACGGATTGTAACACTGTTAATATAAAGTCACGTTTGCAATGAAATTCACACATTTTTCACATTTTCTTTTCAAAAATATAGTGAAGTATATACTTACAATTTAGGGAGGTCAAGTATTAGATGTTCTTGAATATTTTAGAGTATTTAAACGACATAACTTGATCTTTGTTTCGCATCGTTGGTTGATCGTGGTCACAGTTGAGTTGCTCATTTCTTTTTACTGAATGTGAGCATGCACCCCCTCAACGGCCTGACCTCAATTATTACCCGATGATTAAAAAAATTGATAACAAATATTATTTTGTTACAAATTCAAGTTTTTTGACGCATAGGTTCCACTGATAGGTTCGACTCTTGTATTAAATACATTACCATTAGTAGACAGTTGTGTCATAGACAGGGAGATGGGAGAGGGGGTAGATATAAATTATTGCGGGGGGGGGGGCAACAACAACAACAACAACAACAAAATGAGAAGAATACAAATATCTACAAAAACAATCAATAAGTTTTTGAAATACCTTTTATTCAGTTTAATCATCCAAATTAAATACTTAAGATGCCCCTAGCATGTGAAAAGAAACTATACAGAAATGTTGACGAGATCTCCTTGATCTTTACATGCTATGTATAATTTGTGGATTCCAAAGGGGCCCTCGGCCCCTCCATTCGGGGGGGGGGGGGGGGGGGTGTCGTATCAGATTATTAAATTAGGATCAATCAACAACAAAAAATCATGAGCATCGCCCTATATACATCCAGCAAAATAATGCACTTTTGAATCTAGTCACTGCCAGAGACGGCATGGGTAATAACCGGCAAATGTCTGTGAACATGAACAAAGATTTGCCCCTTAATGTCTACGAAAGATCTTTGATTACTTTGTAGGCGATGGAAACAAAATGTAACATGGGCCTATTATTATAGTTTTTCTCTATCTCTCTGTCTCTCTCCGTCTGTCTCTCTTTATCTGCCACCCTCTCTCTTTCTCTTCTCTCAGTAGTCATCAAAAGAATTTGAATAGCGCCCATTGTGTCTGCGCACGTACTGCATGCAGTAATTTTTTCTTTATGCTTTTGTATAATAAGATTTTTGTTTAAAAAAATGAAGAGCATGTAATGGACAATAAATTATTGTCCATTACATGCTCTTCATTTTTTAAAACAAAAGTCTTCATTAGTAATCAAATTACATGCATGCTACTGTATTGAAATTACTTTCATCCATTTCCGTTGCTTTGCTTGTGACGTGATCATGAAAGCGATATCAAAATTGTTTTAAAATGTAAGAACATGTAAAAGATTCACTACATGCAAATTTGAAAAAAATATAATCAACGTTCAGTAATAGAAATATTAATGTACATTTTCAAAAACAATTAGGAGAATTATAATATATGAGAGTGCATGGGAGAGTCTATAAATAAGTAATTTTAGAGCATCTATTTCCATCCCGTCCCATGTGGCTTCCCATTATGTATTTCCTTAAAATAGGTCTTACAAAATTCAAATTGCCACTATAATAAGCCAGACAAGAAATAATTATATACCAACAGAGCCCACAGAGATACTTTATAACTCTAATAACTCTCAGTCAATTTGATTTGAGGGTTGTTGTTTTTTAAAGCAAAAAATAATATTTCTGTCACCTCAAAGTGTCTAACGTATACAGAACTGTCTCATTTAATTATAAGTATCTATTGGATGAATATTGTTTTTTAACTTATTATTTATTTATGACCTAATACTGCCGGTCCAGCTCCTTTCATATGCCTAATCCATCATTTTTAATCCATTGATTGCTTTGTTTAAACTAAGAGTGAGATATGAGGTGTGAAATACGTGTTTCGATACTGGTATAGTGAATAACAATAATTGTCGCGTAACCTGAGGGTGAAAGTAAAAAAGCATGATTATTTTTTTAGTTGGTGCTGCTAATTAATTTTTTTACGGCGCTTGTCAATTTGGAATTTTGTCATTTCAATTTGGAACTTTTGTTTTGAGGCCTACATTACATAAGATTATGCATTTTTGTCAAATTATCACAACGATTTGATCAACGGACGGAGGGAAGAAATTAGAATGTTGCCCTCTTGCGACAATTCTTAGCTAAGAATAAGCCAATTCGTGCGCATGGGTAGATATTGTACAAAAATTATAGAACCCACCGAGACGAATTGGCGGATTCGCACTCAACAAAGTTATGTAATCATTATTAATTTATGCACGGACAGTACCTTCTATGGAACACAGGTGAAAGTACTTTTCTTAAGAGGACAAACAAAATGTTTTGGTGAAGCACATCCATGACTTGGTCAGTGATTATTCTAAAATGCACAGACTCTGACCAAGGAGCTAACAGACGGAGCTCTTTTTCGTTTCCTTTATGCGCCCCCTCTACATCGAAACGTAAACGATTGTTACACATCAAAGTGAGTCTCATTTTGAAATTGAGGATGAATCAATGTTTTCCTCTCCTTCTCTTTCCTCTTCTTTTGTTTTCTATTCTATTTTGATATTTTCTTTTAATATTTGTTTCCCCCATCTATTCTCTTTTCTTCTCTATTAATTTTCTCTTCTCTATTCTTCTCCTCACTTCTCTTTTCTCCTGATCTTTACTCTTCTTTTCTTTCCCTTTTCTTTCCTTCCTTTCGATACGGGTGTGGGCAGGGAATGAGGGGCGCTACATCCCAGAACTGCATTGCTTGAACCCAACTGTTGTGATAATCCCTACCCCCCCCCTCCCCCCCCCAAAAAAAAGAAGTTTCATTTTGCCTTGGTTGTCCCTCAGAGGAACATTATTCCTTTAACACGGGATAAAGACCTTCGAAAAATCATGTTATGGCAATTTCAATTTCCATTACCTTTTGAAATGTGCGAACATATACGTGATCCGAAAACGGTTTATATGGGATATACAGCAGGTATTAGAATTAACATATATTTTTAAAATCGAATTGCTGTAATTTCATCATTAATATCAATGAAAAAAATTAATAAGTCTGACATCTTTTCGAAATAGCCCACAGTATTTAGATAAGAACTTTGTAAATATTTACACTATTTTTTAAATAATATGTTTGATCAATGATCGAGAGACACAGTTATATACTAATAAGATTCATCAGTGAATATCGGAATAAAAGCATTAAAGAGTGGAA